TCATCTGACGCAACGTTCTACACGCACTGGGGTGGCTCGGACCTGAAATTACCTGCTGCGCGCTTGAAACACGTTGCAGTTGACCAACAAGTGTTCCGCTGGAGGATTTAGTCGTAATGAAGAATCGGAGCCAGAGGTATGGGTCGAAACAGCCTAGCTGGTGAGCCATTGTGCCAGAGGCCAATTGTATCGTTATTGTAGTTGTAATGTTACTGTAACGTTGTAGTTGTAACGTTATTGTAGCGTTATTTTGACGCTGTTGTGACTAGGATGGCCTGGACTCTTCATGAAGCCGTTATGAGCCCGCCACAAACACCAGCACACCTATCTCTCATCCTCCATTCAGTGTAGCTTCCGCCTTCGTCACTCGCCGGAAATGCACCAATATACATGCCAGACCAACTCCTCTTCATCAAATCGTATTTTCATTGAGTCGACATTTTTCGGTTTTTGACATACTAGGAATCACGCTGAGTGTGATTCGCTTTCTGGAAATCTAGGACAAACAAAACAAAAACGAAAAATATGCCAATGGTCAACAACGTCATTCAAGGACAATGCCACTCTCTCTAACCTCTGTCCTTCTGTGTCTTCGCCAACGACATCAACGTGTTTGCCGGAGGCGCTGTAGCTGCACATCTCGCGAACAGCACCTGAAGTTTTGGTCACTGGAGGTAGATTCGAAGCCCAAGGCAATGCACTTGGAACGATGTTGGAACGAGTTCTGACTTCAAGAGCATGCAGTTTTGAACAAACGGGTTGAAGATCAACGCGGAGCAAACTCAGTAATGCCGCTGGTAAGTACACACAACTTGCGTAGCGCCCCCCTTAACGCAATTTTCCAATCACGATCTGCTCAGTTTCGTAAGCGGAACGTCTCAGACAAACCTTTGCTCGCTCCCTCAGCAGGAGTAGGCGTTGCTTCGGCAGTCGGACAGTTCTATCACATCCGAGAAATTGCCTGCCACTCAACATTGTCCCCGTCCTCGTTATTGCTCTGGTTCTTTCGCAGAAACGATTCTGCTTTCCGATTCATGGAAAGCAGATGCAGGAAATCATTAACTATGCAGCAAACAACTTTCGGCAATCAACTACTATGCAGCAAACGACAGCAATCATTAGCTATGCAGCTAACAAACTGATCGCGTTTGGGATCTGCTGAGGCAGCTGGGCTGACTCAGCGCTGGGAACTGGCCCATTATCACAAGTGGCACAAGGTGCACCACTTAGGCGAGCCTGAGACCCTGGCCCGCCAGCTCTAATGACCGTGCCCGACGAACCATCGAGGTTCGCGATCCTGATGTGTCCAGGTACCGCACTGAGGCTGGTCGCCGGGTGCACACGTGCTGCGACAGAGCCGCGGTCTTCTGCCGCCACACAAGGCGCCTCCTGCACAGACGGGACCGGTGTGATATCATGCTCGACATTTGTGCTGGTCCGATGGCGAGTGTTAAGTCGTCTCACGGTTCTGAGAGTGTGGATCAGCGTGGTCTTCAGACACTCACGGACCTTTTGATTTGCATGAATGACGCGAGGCTGGCATAACCACCAACACGCTGTGATTGATCTCAGCTTACGTCTGACTCGAAGTCAGAACCTGTCACCATTCGCAGTTAGCAGGGAACCTGGGTTGGCACGACAGAGGATCAAGGACCAAACATTCTCTGTGCCGGCCAACCGTAGTTGGCCTGATGTAGAATTAATAAAGGTCTTACGATTTAACAGAGTCCGTTTGACTTACTGGCAGAGGCGGGATGTATTAAACAGTTGCAGAGGGGAATTGACAGCTTCGGAGCACTTACACCAATTGTTTTCTGGAAGTGCAATGTGAATAAGTTGAGCCGTAATATGAGACTGATTGGGTTGTAATTTAACGGATGTCATGTAAGTCAAATGTGGCTGCTCAGGTTTCGCCCAGTAAATTATACCTATGCCATGAACGTGGTCTGATTCATTGTTTAATGAATTAAGTTCTTAAATTAACCAAGCGTTGTTAGTTGCAAATACGACAAGGTCCGTATCGTGTACTAATCCAATACATGTGTCCAATGGTTTTGTCCTAGGAAATGCTATACTTACCGAGCATTAAGTACACTTCTATGTGGAAGGCTCCGCCACCCATCAGGTTCAAAAGTTTAGTGAAACTTTGACGTTTCTGAAGCGCTTCATTCCGGGCAATGTCATAACTAATATGGAGAATTTACTGAAGTTGGTGGAGCTCTTCCCACCCCTGCAGTGGGGCCTGTGGCTAAGGGTCTATAGCAATGGAAAACAAAAGAAATCGACAGGCGATGGCATAAAGCCAAGGGATGAGCCTGAAAATATCATATACATTCTTACTGTGCACTGCACAGTATGTTAACAAATGATGAAATTTAGAAATACGGCCTTCACGACCACTCCTATTTAAGGCTGGGAATAAAACCAGAAAGGTCCGCTGGCGCGATTCCTACGTGACTGATCGCACTCCTTTAATTTGCTAGCATGACTGATCCAGTGGTCTCCTACCAGCCGTAAGCTTAAATTTTACATTTCCTCTAGCTTACTGTGAAAAAAGACGGGGGGGGGGGGGGGTACCGTAAGCTGCGGGATGTTTCCATAAAGCACAACAGGCTAAACAGGATGGCAGGATGGTGACGGCATGATGGCTGGCCCAGACAGCACAGTCAGCAGCTGGACAGCTGCCTCGCCGTCCGGGTCACCAGGCTGCGCGAGCCGCCTGGTGAGCCGCTCCGCCAGCTCTCGCCGCCTCGCGTTTATGTTGGGCGCGATGTTGGGATGCATTTCCTCCGGAATGCAGTTCTCCGTTCTGCTGCAGTTCTCTGCGCATCCGCCGGACCCAAGCTGCTCCGTCATACGAGTCAGACGCCGGCGCTGAGCTCCGCCGCCGTCTGCCGCCTCAGGCTTGCTGTATTCGCAGCCCCCGCACGCCGCCCACGATTATTTAATTAAAAAACTCATTCCACGCGCGGAACAAACACCCTCAAAGCATACGTCGACACAACACGCACTTGTCCTCCATTGTCGACGGAAAGGTTATACAACACCGGGGGTGAGGGGGGGGGGGGCGCCGTGGATTTCGAATCGGGGTAGGTTTTCCAGGGGGCCTCCTGGGCAAAATGGGATCGTCTCACAAGGGGGGGGGGGGGGCTGCTGGGCAGCAACGTTTGAAGAGGGCACCAAGGGTGTGTACCCTGAATCAAAATGCTAAATGTACTATATCCAAATAGCTTAATGTCGACAATTAAAGAAAATCCAAAATGGTGTCATCTGATTATCCGGCAAAGGGTCCCGCTATCATAACATGGAGCCTCCTGTCCCAGAAAAAGGCCTCCTCCTGATGAAGAGGCCTCTTATTCCAGGACAGGAACCTTCCATTCAAAAAAGGTGCTGTCAAATCTAGCCAAGAGGCCCCGTTATTCCCGTACCCTCCTGAATACAAAGGGTGCCTTCTAACCCAGAACAGGGGCCTCCTAGTTCGGAACGGGGACCCCCGAGCTAGCAAAGGAGCCTCCTTAACATAACATTAGACCTGCCAACTTGGAGCATGGGCTACCTTATCCACAAAGGTCGCCTCGTGATCCAGAAAATGGGCCTCTCGATGTAGGAAAGGGTTCTTCTGAGCCCGATTTGTCACTTTTTAGCTCAGTTACAAAGACCTTATTTACGTGAATTCTGATAATCTAGGGTTGCTATACTGCCCTCAAGTAGGGAAGAGGCCTCCTCAAAATTTTGAACGGGCGGAAATACATTCCTACCACCTCATCCCCTGCCCCCCCCCCCCCCCGCAGAGGGGAAGCGGCAACCGATACCTACGCTCCTGCTGCGCCGCCTCTGACGACACTGGGATGATTGCCAGGCAACCCCTGATCACCGATGTACCGATCGTTGTGCCCCTTACTTGACACTATGACAGCGTCAGACCAACGCAGTGGATCACAGGTGACGCTTTGCCAGGCCGCACGGCGACACGCCGCCCCGGCAGGAGCCGCCAGCCAGGCGTGCATCTGGCATCGGGGCTGGAGATTACATTCCGAGGCTGCGGCGAGCTCGGGCGGGACGGCCGGCGTGCAATCAGCATGAACTGAGCGGTGCGCTATGTGCGCTGCTGCATACTTTGACGATGAGTCGGCACGGGCCTGCGTCAGATGGACGTCCTGCGAGGCCGGAGCCGGCCCGGGCGGTCGCGCCAGCCGACGGCACGTGGGCACGCGTCGGGCACCACCGTCGTTAGCGGCAGAGCGCGACGTTGGCTGAGGTGTCCCCGTGTCACGTGAAGTGGAACGTGACCCAGTCAGACAAAGGCATCAGCTAACTACCACGTGCAAGTCGCGAGAGCTGCGGCGCCGAACGAACGCGCTAACCCCAAGCAGTGGGGCTCAAAACATGACGTGGTGTGTTGAATGCATGCGGAATGCCGCCACGAGATCTGCGACGGGTGGCCGGGTGTCGAGACGTGCGGCGCGACAACGACCCGAGCGGGCATCCGTCTCCGATCTTTCAGGCTGGTACAGACAGCCGGATACAGACGGCGACGGCTGATACAGACATGCTTCTCCGGTGCATTGCACGGCAGCCTCTGAAAACGAGGCGTGACGGCTCGGACGTGCCGGGTGCTTGCGCCACTGACGCTGTCTTCCCCACCTGCCACGACGCGCGGGCCAGCAGCCCGCCGGCGAGCTGCTCGGTGGTCGGTGCTTCGGCCAGCAGACCCGAATCTGTTGAAATTATGCGCACGGATACCGAATATTACGCGAGAATGGCAGCCAAACATCCGCATCCGGAGATGGCGAGTGGTAGCTTACACTTTGACCGACCTCGCCGTCCGCTGGCATGCTGGACAGGCATCGGACCATGTGTAAAAGTCGCATTGAGCCGAGAAATCGCCTGGCCTCTTGCAAAGTTCAGGGCTACTTAGTATTCTGTCTTGAAAGAAATACTTACAGGTGTTACGGGGATGATCATTCACTGTCACAGCCAAGTAATCAAATTACTCACCGGATCCACATGTATTGTTTATAACGATGCACCCGCGCGAGATGGCCAGGATAAATGCGACTGCCAATCTGCATGACTCGTTCGGACACCCGAGGAACACACGTCTGCCACCATAGCACGTCAAGGTGATTCTGAGCTACAACCGATTACCCCGCTACCTGCAAAACACGTCTACATAAAAATGCTGGCTGGCGTGAACACGAAGTATCGCCGGTAGATAACCACGAGGCCTCTTGACAATCACCTCCTCGAGCGCTCTCCTCCCGGGACACCCCTAGCCGCGTCATCCGCCGCATCGCTACGAAGTAGCCGCGATCACATCGCAGCGGAGGCACCACGGCCGGCGAGGCGGCCGCCCGCTCGAGCAGGTGGCCCGCCGCCGCCGGAGCAGGCGACGGTGGCGAGCCGGGTCGCGCCCGCCGCCGTCGAAGCAGGTGACGGTGGTTGGGCGTGTCGTTTCCGCTGCCGCCGGAGCAGGTGACGGTGGTGGGGCGGGCCGCTCCCGCCGCCGCCGGAGCTGGTGACGGTGGTGGGGCGGGCCGCGTCCGTCAGCCGCGCCGCTAGGGCCTGCCCGAACGCCACACGTTGCGCGTGAACTGCATGCCGTCGTCGACGCCGACCAGCACGTTGCTGACGAGGCCGGGCTGCTCGTAGTCGGGCGAGGCGCGGGAGGGCCACGTCGGGGGCGTCTCCAGCACGGCCTGCACCGCGAGCGGCACGCGGTGCGTCTCGTACTGCGCACAGAACGAAGCCGTCACAGGGCTGGCGATACAGGCAAACACCGCGGGACACAATCGGAGTTAGATATTGGACAGGCAATTAATTTGCTGCGAGTTCAACACCATCAATTCACGAATGGATTCAGAGCAATCTGTAGGCTACTTATTCATCACGTAGTCAGCACCCCGTTATTCAGAGCACAACTTTCCTACAAATCAAGTCACATTGCCTGGCCTGGAAGGCTGCCGATCTTCACCCGCAGTAAATCACGTGGACAGTGAGCGGCATCTGGACCCGCTTAGCCTCTGTCGATGTCATCGCGCGGCGCTGATCCTGATTCCTCAGCGGCGGAACGATCCAACTTCTCTGTTTCGGATGGGATGCGCCCCCAACGTCCGGCCACATCACAGCGATCGTCCATACAGCGTGGCCCGCCACACGGACCGCTCCGCACGGGACGGCCGCCTCGCGACGCGCCCGCAGAGGCACGGCCTCACTCTGGCAGTGGACCACGCAGCGACAGATGGCGTCCCCAGCCGGGGCGCCGCCGCTCAATCGTGCCGAGGTCGGCGCAGTGTCGAGTGTGTAGTGTAGCCCGCAGGTGTTTAATGTGACCCAGTCACGTGTCTATGATAGCCTGGTTAAGTGCCTTGTGTAGCCCACGAGTACGACATTCTAGGAGCCTGACCGACTTGTGGTCTAGCACTCACGTAACGTCCTTCAAGCCAAGCGCAGTGAAGCCGCGGTCATTCGAGGACGTCGTTGAGCCATACGACACCACCTCGGACGAGTGATAAAGATTCACGATCCAATGAAACTAAAATACGGGCATACCACAGAGCTTAGCAACCACCAGAGAGCCCTGCAGCGCATGCAATCGTGTCAAATTGACAACACTTAAACTTTCAGATGACATCTTAGAGTCCGATGTCAAAAAGATCCAGCGGTCTGAGAACCGCCAAAGTCAGGAATGGTCTAGGCAATTAACTACCTGACGCCCAATATTACTTAAACGCCGAAAGCGTTCAGTCGTTTACATACACAGTTTTTCAACATCCATGCGTGTTGACTAGTGCCTACTAGCACTATAAAGGTCGATTGCTTCCAGCGGCGGTGCTCATGAAGCTATCAGTGTGCCCTCTGGGGGCACAAGGACGCCAGACAGGCGGTCCGCCGGACCGACCCTCATCTGCAGCGCGATCGGTCAGCCGGCGGCCCGCTTCACGCCTGGCGCCTCTGCACGAGGTCGAGCGGAGAGCGGCGCGGGCCCGTATCAGCGGCGCAGTGACACACTGCCTCCATTTCTGGCCGGGCGGCGGTTCACGGCGGGGCCAGCCGGCCGGCCGTGATAGCGGGCCCCGCGCCGTTCCGACCCCATGGGGAACAGATAACGGAGTGCGCGACGACGTTTGCAGGAAACGGGGCACGTTTCGAGGCCGACGGGCCGATAGTCGCCCGCGCAGTCCCCCAATCCTCGGCAGACGACGCCGTACCAGGGACTCCGGTATCTGGGCATCACCCGGGGCGAAATCAAGTACCGCGAAATGGTCAGCCATCAACAGCTTAGCCGGTCTCTCCATCGCCACCTTCCGCAGCCCGGGATGGCTGGGATCGACTCCTCGCGGGGTCCACAACCAACATGCTGGTGGAAATATAAAGCACAGTAGGTATCTCAGTCCTTTATTTATGCCGACTATTTAGACCACCTTGTAGTATACACTATTCGCCATCCACGCGGTAGCGTCCGCAGCATTCAGCTGACATGAGCCAAAGCGTGTCGCTGAGTCATGCGATCCTCATGCATGACGACGGCCATGATCTTCTATGAAAGACCAGCTGACTGTCTTAGGCGGCTTTGGAGGCTCTGACGCACCCCTGACCTTGAATAGCTGTTACGCTGCTATTGGCGCCCGACCTTAAATAGCTGCTACGCTGCTATTGGCGCCCCTGACCTTAAATAGCTGCTACGCTGCTATTGGCGCCCCTGACCTTGAATAGCTGTTACGCTGCTATTGGCGCCCCTGACTTAAAATAGCCGTCACGGTGCCCCGCGGTGCCATTTAAATTAATTTTTCAGTCACTTAAGCACTACACAAGACAATATAGTCCACAAAGAGCTGTAAAGGAGTCGCGCAGCGCCATTTCTGCACAAACCACCGTGCCCAGCCTTGAGATCCGAGGTCCGAGATCCGACATCCGAGACCCAAGACCCGGGTCCGAGTCGAAGTCACAAGTCAGTGACCTAATGCGTTCCAAACTTAAACCTTGCGAGCTATGCGTGAAGTTTTCGTTTAAATCCGTCGGTTCCATCGCTCTGTGCTCAACAGTCCGTGATATAGCTCACACGAACTGGAAGGGGAAATGTTTATAGGCCGGAACGCTACACAGATTGGTTCAGAGACCCACACTTCAGTATCAGTGGCACCACGGACCGCAGACCATGGAAGCACACAAGAGCCATGAGACGACGACATCATGGACCGCGGACGATAAGCAAAAGATACCACCAATCACGTGCCATGAGAGAAAACGGCGGACGGCGGACCATGAGAAGCAAACGACATCACGGTCTGCGGACCATGGGTGGTGCATGACACGACGGACAAGGACCACAAATGATAGACGACACCTTGGACAGGGTCCATAAGGACCATAAGTGATAAACGACAGCACGGCCTGTGGATGGACCATGAGTGGTAGACGACACGACGGACAAGGACCACAAGTGATAGACGACAACACGGCCTGCGGACCATCAGTGGTACACGATCCCATAGACATGAACCATAAGTGGTAGACGACACAATGGCCAAGGACCATAAGTGGTAGAGGATACCACGGACAGGGACTATAAGTGGAGGACCACACCACGGACAAAGGCCACTGCGTCCTTGAGATCACCTTTTTTAAATCGTGTGATGAAATGGCAAGCATGCTCCAAAGAGACGTCTAAAAAAAAACTTGAGAAAAGTCATCTAGATAACTACTTCCGTTTACTGGCGGGAAGTCAAAGACGGCAGTGACTCATGATATTGTTATTAGCAAGCGCCACGCCACACTCTCGTCGATTACGCACACTGGCATCTGGATACGCACGGGAAGCGACCAATCACGCTACGCCTGCGCCTTGTAATCTCACTCCAACAAAGTGATGGACCGGACATACCATATTCCGGAGGAGCTGGGGGGCCACCGGGCGTGGCAGCCGGCCGCTCCGGCCGCCTCGCGCTCCGCTCAGGCCACGCCCCTGCCCACTCACCGGCGCCGCCGAGGCGTCCTCGTCGTCCGCGTCGCGCACGGCGCCCAGGTAGACGTCTACGCAGCGAACGAACGTGCTGAACAGCCGCTCCATCTGCACGTGGCGCAGCTCGCGCAGGTAGACGACGTTCTTGACGGCTCCCTCGAGCAGCGGCTCGGCCAGTGGCCGCTTCAGCCACACCTGCTGGTCCTCGCGCATGCGCTCCAATCGGAAGTGCGGGAAGAACACCTGCCGACACAGAGGCCACGGCTTGAACCGCGGACACGGTGGACAAGCACGGCCAGCGGATACGGTGGACCAGCGCCGGACAGCAAGCACGGTTATGGACGCGACTCGCAAGACCCAGGCCACGTCGGTTCGAACTGCGAGCCCAGACCAGCCCACAGCTCGTGAGCGCTCACAGCCCGCCGGCGCGCGATCGCACCGCCTCTTGTGATGCAAGCCCGAGCGGTCAACATCCGAGAAACGCGCGCAAACTGCGCCGCCCGTTAGCACGTTCTCATTGCGCACACGTGCATCCATAACTCCGTGCCGCCGTCGGGGCACTAGGCGGTTGTTTATGCCCCGCGGCGACGAGCGGCGGCGCCCCACGCGCCGCCACGCCGCCTGACCAGACGTGTTTGTGCCGGCGCCGCGGGCGAACCGGCAGATCAATTCGTGTTCCCAGTCATGTTGTCCGGGCCGCATCCCGGTGGACGGACGCCCCACTAATGTGGTTCCCGCGAGCGGCGACAACATGCCCCCGCGGATGGGCGGTGGGGGTGGGGGGGGGGGGGGAGAGGACCGCCGCGCCCACCCAGGGAGGTCAGGGGCCGCCGCCCTCCGCACTCGGCACGGAGCCGCGACCACACAGGCACAGCGGCGCGACGCCAGTCCGCGGTCACCAGCTGCCGGCGGCGGAAGCACAAGCAGCAGTGGCTGGGACTGGGGAGCTTCACTTCCACCGGTGTGACGCGTTTTCCGAATATACAGTATCGTGCGTTGTGACCAGATAAAAATAGACGGCGTGCTCTGGCGGGAGGTCTGAGTGATGTGCCCGGACTTCGTGGCGAGATGTAAAGTGGCAGCAATAAATGGCATCAGGATCCAGTTTTCATGGCACCGCGGTGTTGTTTCATTTCGCCGGGGGCTATCGACAACTGAGTTATGTGGCGGGATGTGTCCGCACGACACAAGCTGACAGCAATTAATGGTAACACAATCAAAGGCTTAATGGAACAGCAGTGTTATAGTCCAGCTTCGTCGCGTGACGTTGACAGCCTCGTGCGCGAGAAAAACGCGACATGGACCGAAAATCCCCGTAATTTAAATTGGTTTGAAACAATCAACCGAACTTGTATTGATAATGGTGAATTCTCGTAGCTGCATATCAAAAGGACTGAACAATACATGCATTGCAACAGGTGTTTGAGTTCGGAATTCAGCGTAGCAGCCAAAGAAAATGTTAGAAAGCGTATTGGACGTTTCTGCATGTGCTGAAGAGTCTGAGCCAGTGCCTGCTAATGAACCCATTCATAAGACCCGACCAACACGAGATATATCCTCGAATTTGCCGTCCGTTACTTATCAAGTCGGCGGGGGTGGGAAGATTGGCAGTCAGCGGGGTGAGAGTGGAGACTGGAGCCAACAACTATACGAGCAAACACCCCCAACCCATCCGGACTTTTCGGCGAGTTTGCTCCACCCACCACTGCCCAAAAAACCTTTGTATTCATCAGACGGTTTACGAGTTATAATTAGTTTATGGAAGCCCTCTGACAACTTGGGCCATCTTCTGACTTCGTCTTCACAAAACCAATTTCCAAGTTATGATCGAGTGGATGAGATGAAAATGACTTATTTCCGTCAGCTGTGGACAACTCGATTGTCTTTCATGACAACAATGACGGAGCGCTGAGGAACTCCCATAAAGATGCGAGTCTCAAGCGCCCGGCAAAAGGCAGTTAAAAGAAGTGATGCATATTTGTATGCGGATCTGAACTGATATGGCTATTCTAAAGATCATTGGGTGCAGTTTTCGGCCTTCACCTTCGTAAGACAAAACCCTTGGTTTCCGAGTTAGCCGCCTGCGAAGTTTTGCAGACTACCTCAAGGTCACCCAGGCCGCGGGGGCACGAAACCAAAAGACTTCAATTGGCTATAAACTAATGTGATGCATTCAGAGTAATATTCAAACAAGAACTACGTTTTGAGCGATATAATATGGAAAGCTGGACCGTGGTACCGGTTTTTACGGAAATCCACTTTGTAATCGAATAATTTCAGAAGAGCGTCATGCAAATAAATACCATATGATACCATGAGCGATATAATATGGAAAGCTGGACCGTGGTACCGGTTTTTACGGAAATCCACTTTGTAATCGAATAATTTCAGAAGAGCGTCATGCAAATAAATACCATAAAGTCACGGATGAACACGACACAACGAGAAAGGGTCAAAACACGAGCATACGACACTTGGGCCCTGAAATCGCCGCACCAATTACCGCGATCTCTCCCGGGAAGTTCAAGTGCTAAAAGTGAGTCAGCTCGTCCGCCTGGGGAGAAATTTTGCGACACCAGTCTGGCAGCCCCTCTACCGTCAAACATTCCATGGCGCAATCAGACGATGACGCATTGTGGAGCATGTACACCGAATAGCAATTTTTGGTCTGGGGCAGTTTTTTGAGCTTAGCATACCAATAGTTACAAGTGAGCTTATTTCATCACATCGAAGGTGTCTTTTTAATATAATCCCACTGACAGGCTGCGGGGAAAATATACCCAGGGAGTCTGATCTACGTGCTCTCATGACTTCTCCCGAGCGGACAGACTTGAGACTGCCCTAAGGCGTCTCGTTCTGTTCTGAGATATTCCATGCATACTGATGGCCCACAGGAATCCGATGGAAAGCCGCAGCGATACGGATGTGGTGGCTCCTTCGCTCCGACGCGCCACAAAAAAGTGGCGATCCGGGTTCACGTCCGGGTCCGGATCCGCGTCCAGGTCCGGGTCTGGGTCCGGGTCCGGGTCCGAGTTCGGGTCCGTGGCTGAGTCAGCGTCAGAGTCAGGGTCAGGGTCAAGGCCAGGGTCAGGGCTAAGACCAGAGTCAAAGCCAGACATGGTCACGGTTCAGCCCGCCCACCTGTCTGGGTAGCAAGCCGAGCCGAGTCACCAGCGTATGCGCCACGCTGCTGACGTAGGCCGGCATGGCGCCGTGCTGCCGGTGGTACAGCAGCACCTCCGCCGCCTGCGTGTCGAACACGTTGGTCAGGCCCACGCCGAACTGGTGCGCCAGTAGGTCGGACAGGCCGCGGCAATCGTGTACCACCTTCTGCACGTCGGCCGCCTCGAGCAGCGGACGCAGCTGCTGCACGGCCGCCGCGCCGCCGCAAGCCGCCACGTCCACCACGAACGCGAACTCGGCGGCGGCAAACGTCAGGAGGCTGAGCTGGCCGCGCCGGCCCAGCAGCACGCCTTCAGCCGCCAGCCCCAGCGTCTGCTGGCGGCGCAGGAAGGCCACTGCCTCCGTCAGCTCGGCAGCCGACTCCAGCAGCGCGTAGCCGTCGGGCCGCGGCAGCAGTGGCGGCGGCGAGGCGGCGCGCGCTGCCGGCGCTGCCACCTCGCCGCCCGAGTCGTCGCTGTAGCCGAGCGCCACCTGCACCAGTAGCAAGCTGTCGTCAACCAGGCGCTGCGGGAACGGTGTCGGCCGGTCTCGCGACGAGCGGTCCATTAGCATGGCATCGCGGCGCGTCGGCGGCGCCGGCACCGGCGGCGGCGCAGCCGGCGCCTCCGGTCCGGCCTCCAGCACCTCGATGCGTCGCACGTCACCGCGCAAGAACTTCTGCACGCCATGCAGCCGCTGCTGCTGCTCGCCGTCGCCGAACGTGACGCCCAGCAGGGTGACGGAGCCGTCACGCGCGCCCACCGCGTGCACCGTGCCGCAGTAGTGGCCCTCCTCGGCCGCCAGACGGACGCGGCAGCCGAGCAGGTCGGGCTCGAACGCGGCCGCCATGCTAGTCACGCTTGCCGCCCTTCTCCGGCTCGCGGAAGGCGCGCACGACGTACAGGCCCAGCGAGGCGTGCACGGCGACGACGGCCACGCCGGCCGCGTACAGCGTGCTCGTCGAAGCGTCCAGGCCCAGCACAAGCTGGAACAGCAAGCTCTTGGACGCGAAAAAGGCGGCCACGGGCACGAACAGGATCAGCAGAACATAGGAGAAGACGGTGCGGAAGACGGCGCTTTCCGGGACCTGCTGCTGCTGTTGAAGCTGGTCCATAGCCTGACTGGCTGAGATTGAGACGACCGACCGATATCAATCGAGGCCGAGATTAAGAAGCTTGACCTGAAACACAAGACTTAACAGCAGCTCGTACATGCCACAGTGATTTATTCAGACTGTTCGTCTAAATTGTCTGGTGACTATTTGAGAACACCCATAGTACTATAGCCACTTATGCAAGCACAAATTCACTTTATTCACCACTCCATAAATTTCACTCGGTCTACAAATCACACAAATGGTATGACAGCTCCCAGTTTGACATTTCTATGTTCTGATCTCTCTCTGATGAGCATTAACTGGCAAGCTAACACTCACTAATGATTTTACATGCCAACATTCTAGTCCAGACCATAGGCTTCACATCAGTGACCCAGAAGTTTAGCATTGGATGTGAGTTTTTACTGAGCAAAATTAACCAGGCCACTATTGTGTGAACTAGCACCATGCACTCCACTCCCAAACAGCACCAAATTCCTACAAGTACACATTCCTGGACTGCACTTGGACCATCAAATCAAAACATCAGTATACAATGGCAATTCCAAAGATGCAGCAGGTTTGTGCCACTGCCCAGCATCATAGTAGCGACCATGATTCAAAAGGCTGATCCAGCACTACAATATCCAATTTGCATCTACATGGGCCATTTACGTGAGGGAAAATGTGATAAAACTTTCCTGCATGCTGCATTTTGTGAAGGCATGCAACAACTGTTGTCCAATACCTTAAGCTGATGCTGGCTAGACAATCAGATGGTATATCCTATGACATTGCTGAATCTTAAGGCAATGTAAATTATTGTGCACACACTATGACACCATTGGATCTTCAAGTATCCTGACATCATTGGATCTTCAAGAAATGTAGATTACTATGCACAAACTATTAAAATATGAAACATTAGATGGAGCAGAATAGAGCAGCCAGGTTGAATTTGGTCACACAGTGTACTAGGACCAGGACAGGACTATTCTCCACAACTTTTTAGCAGGGCTGTCCAAGCCTAGTACAGCCTCATCAGTGGCCTCGTTGGTGATATATTCTTCAAGCATGTGACACATTTTCAAGCCAGTGCCCTCAGTCCCATCTCCCCATGTATAATATTCATCACAGTAGCTCATGAGACATCACTGGTAATAAATATTTTTTTTTAAATCTTGGTATGTCATAGAATTAGCCACCTGAATACAGCACAACACCAGACAGCAATAGCTCCCAGTGGGTGGCACAGTGTGCCAATGCACACAACAAAAGCTTCTGCTGTTTGAGGTTTGGGTAAATATGGAATATTTAGGATTTTAGATACCTGGATTTAACTACACTTTAAATATCACTGGTGCCAATTTCTATTCTGGTGGCATATCAGTTTGTCCAAACTGAGTGAAAAGTCCAAGCTGGAATAACAGTGGCAGCCCAACAATGTTTGTGTATTCACACAATAAACTGAAGAGGTCCAAGCTTGACATGCAATTGCCACTAGTTCCAGTGCAAAAGAGCCACTGCTACAAGGAATTAAAATGCTACTTGGGCAACTTGAAGCAAAAATACTCCCTAGCTTTTTAAGCAAAAACATGTTGAAAATTCAGCACAGTTTGGCCTGGTCCCCGCAAGAATGTCAACCAATGGATGTCATCAATCTGGAGACTTAGTTTTAAGCATGGTCAACAAAAATTTCAGTGCATAGGGGGCCATATTTCAAAAGAATTATGACATAACAAGGATAATTCTGGGCAAAAAGGGCCAAGACAAATTGTGCAGCAATGTTACAATATAATACACTTATTCCTGGCATATGCTCACCACACACAACAAGGAGTTTACAAACATCGATGCTTGCAAGGCATCCAGTGCAAAAAAATTAATATTGCAGACTGACCTATGATAGGTCAGTCTGCAAAATTCATTTCTTCACCTATGCCTGCCCGGTCACGCAAGATACATGTAACACGTTACTGCTTTGTTTTATGACACACCATTGGTACTCATTTCAAGGGGCTGAATTACACCCCCCCCCCATCCAAAAAATAATAATGGGCTTGCATCGACATGCCCAAACCCACGATGTCCAGAAAGTCCGGGATGCTGGACAGAACAGAAGCCAAGCACGACACTTCTGAACGGTAAGTTTGCGCCCTATTGGCTCGGTGTCTGCATGTTTATATTAGTGACACAGAGTAACAAGTAAGAGACTACGTACTGACCCTCGCTTTCTGCCCGCGGATATACAAACACAAACACAATAACAAACACGTTCAGGGACGATCAGATGTACCCGAATGTATGCCCTTGCCACGATTCTTTGGTCTTCGCCAGCCCTGCGTCAATAACGTGCCAAATGCGCCAGTATCTGGTTTAATATAAGCTGGCTAAACATTTAACAAGATGTTTTCTAATACTGAGAATACAAAATATTTTTTTATTTCAGTTATACTTTCTGAAGTCATATTATGAAATCAAATAAAATTACTTACATTTTAATCATAACTGTTGTTTTCTGTTTTGCAATTTTGGCCTGCTTTTTAAGTATGTGTTTTTTAAAACCGATAGTCTCTCTGTACAATACGCTCTCTTAACTCGACGCTTAGCTGATCACGAGGGCACCATCCGGCAGGAAACAATGTAAACATGAGGAAGAGTAGGCAGGGCCTAAAAAACGGACATACGAAACAGACACGCTCGTCGTCTGGCCGTTTTGATCGCCATGCTCTCTGTACCAATCGATTGCATGCAATGATATAAATCATGAGAGGCAATATCGAGACCTGACCTATCGTTAAACACCTCGAAAACGCGAATGGAAATTATGCATGCTGTGGCAGGCGACCCAGACTTCGGAGCCGATCGCTCTGATCGCCGCGCCGATCGCTGTGAAACCTTTAACATTGGATGCATTACACCAGATTCCGTGTTGCATTCCAAAATTCGTTTACCCTTGTTCAGGTCAAAAGTCGTGAAATTTCACGAATTCTAAGTTATTGCTGGCAGACAATTCATTTCTCAAACCTGCAACGCCGATTGCCGCGAAACACTACCATTCAGTGCGCCATTTACCGTGATACCCTTTTGAAGCTGCAAGCATAGTACTGATTTACATTTATGTCTTTTCCTGTTATGCTTTATCAACAAACAAACAAAAAATGCGCAGCTTGGCTAGGGTGACCTTATGAGGTTAATGATGTCGGTGTCACTTGATTAGCTCCAAAGTTAAAGTGTTTTACTCAAAGTCACGCTCTGAATTGGGCATGGTGTCGCCGCGATTAACAGAACGCACATCGCCCTGGAACGTACCACCACGTGGCCAGGGTCCACGTCGTGGTGCGTGGCTGGTCGTTGTGTGTGTTGTGCAAATATCGTACTGTCGTGATAACGTACATGCCTCGTCAGCATTCTTTTATTGGTTGCTGGCCCCAAGTCGCCCAGAGGTCCGCCGAATCGAACTGAGCCTGGGTCACGGCTGTGACGGGTGCTGTAAATTTGATGTGCCCGGCTGTGAGAGTAAGCTGGATGCGCCTCACCGAAACAGACCGATTTCGTCAGTGCCCAACTGAGACAGATCCATGACCTCAGAATCGTTCTTGAGGACGCGCTGCCTGCGTTTTGTATAACACTTGTCACCGAGGTACAAGTCCCAGAAGCAAATGGACAAGAAAGGTGGAAAAGACGTCACTGCTATGGTCAACCAGAACCTTGAGGTTTACAATGCGTGTTGCGGGCAGCCGTGCCAGTGCATTACTCGGCGATTTCGACTGTCCCAAATGTGGCGAATTGAATATCGTACAATGCATTTTGTACGCATTTGCTCTCCAAAAAAGACGACGCCCTTGCATTTGCGCGCAAACTGTGTAGAAATGTAATCGCCGTAATGTTTCTGACCGCAAAAATAAAAATAACTATGGTCGCGCGCTTGGACACTAAAAAAACAGACAATAGCGTATGGTTTTACGGTTTGCATTGCAACTGCTAAGTATGCCTCACCAAATGGCGAACGTTTCGGGACGATCGGAGCAATGCGTTCGGGATGAGCTGTCTGCAGGTAAGAATCATTGAATTTGTAAAATCTGGCAACTTTTGACCTGATATAGGGTTACCAAATTGTCATAATCGGGAATCAGATGTGGTGCATCTAAGGTGAAGGTTTCGCAACAATCGGTGCAGTAGGCTCTGAAATCTGAATTGTATGCTTTTGAACACAAATTTTCCCTTCGCGTTTTCGGGATGTTTGACCCCAGGTCAGGTCTTGATATTGCCGTTTCTGTCGAGAAAATGGCGAGGGAGCACGTGTGTTTGCTCATCAAAATCGTCAAGTGTGCGAGCCACTAGTTGGAAGGTGGGCCGTATGGTACGCCTCTGATCAAAACAATTTTGAGCGGATCTGGAGGAGTCTTGGGATACCCATAGAGTAGTGATTACCTAAAGTTTTCTTTTCAGGACGTTTTTACGCACAGGTTAAAAATTGTTGGGTCTCGAGCACAGGTTAGAAATTGTTGGTTTTCGAGCACAGGCTAAAAACGAACGCTGGATGCGACGCAAAATTTTCAATACCTATTCATCTGTTGATTAGACGTCCTTTGTGCATATTTGGAGCTTTAATCTACCAATTCCAGCGGCCTAGATTAGGTCTGAGATCGGCCTCTAAAAATTTTGACTGCATTTTTGGGTAATTTGCTATTGTTCAATCGTGCTATAGTGATGAAACATAATAGTACCTGCGGTTTGATATTTTTTAGTTTTCGAAAAGGCGAGGTCAGGGACCCGGAGTCCTGTTAATTTCTGGGGCCTGCTTTCTTTCCCAATTTCATATGACCACTTGGCTCATGTCCATGGCCCAGGTCATGACCTACCTCTACGGGTGCCTTCTGCAAAACATGTGCTGAGCTAAAAGAGGCAGCTATATAGGGAAGTTTTAGACGTAAAATTCGGATGTTCCACTGAGAACATGTTGTGATATAATTTCAGTGTATAATGAAGTCATTTTAGGTCACGCTGGAACATGCAAGGCCATTTAAAGTCATCCGAGGTCAGTGACCTGTATTGCCATGAGTAAAGGGGCTAGATGAACAAGCACGACGCGCGTAACCACCTCCATATCATGTTTGTGAAGCTGGTGACATGCGATTTCATGTACCAACGTGGATGGTCTCAATTTGCCATAAATACATTGCCACGCGTGGAAGGAGCTTTGTATCATTTATGCAACAGCTTTCTGATCTCAAGTACTTGTAGGTATACAACACGCAATTTCTGACCACAGAAAAGCATTGTACTCGTCACGTAGACCCGGTCAGCGCTTTCATTTTTTGTTTGGATGGGTTGCACGTTTGACTGAAGTTGGCCTCAGGTGATCTCTAGGTCATCCTAAAATGGCAGATTTGTCTCTGGAGCATTTTTCCCGCACAGCTGCACCTAATAAACAAGCTTACTTCAGAAGCGCATTTGGAAAATATATCGGGCTTTTACACAACTGGTATATCAATTTTGAACGGTGACATGATCTGACCTGACGTCTGTGGGGGGAGGGAAGTGGTCGAAGTGGACTCCCCACAGCCTAAACGCTGAATTCCGTGCCCTCAATGTCCGTCTTGACGTGCTAACATAAGCTTGAGCTGTATCGATTGAAACGACCGTTTTTGACCTTTTCTTACCTCTGGTGAAGTCACCTTTGACCTGAGGTGAAAAATTTGATGCGCATTCTTCATGATTTGACGGGACTTTTACAACACAATTTTTTCTCATACGGTGTCTGGAAGTGTGAGATCCCAGGTGGGAAGTCAACTCCCTCCCCCCCCCCTCAGCCGGGCGGGGGTTAAGTCACTGGTGTTCAGCTTACTGGGCCCACCAAACTCAGTGCTGGTCGCGCCCCCGACGGCACGGGGTGTCTTTCTCGCCGACCGCCGAGAGGCACTCCGAGGGTCCGCCATTGGGTCTGTTATTGCCTTTTGACATGCTATGCTGCCGGTCTCACGCGCGTGTTTGGGACTCCGGTATCAGATGAAGTTAGACGGATTCGTCATTCACATCATTATGTTTCCAGCTCATAATTTCCGCAGTAGATGCAGATATTCGAGGCTGGTCTGGACAGTAACTCCTTGGCCATTTCCCGGCCAGAGGAACAGCGAGCCAGGGTGACTGAATAACCACAGACACCGGCCTGCCAGTCTGACATCCCTTATATGGTGAGGTCTGGGATTACGGCGATGCTCACGGGCCCTCGACGATATTCAGTTTTGCAACGTTACCGCCTTCAGAAGGATCGTCGACATGTTGCATCTCCGCCACACCGGCCAGCAGACGGCGAATAGGCTGACCAGCCATAGCGGGAGGACTGCGGCCGCTAGTGCCGGTCTGAGCTGCCGACCGGGTGGTCTGGGCTGCGGACTGGCTGGTCTGGGCTGCCGACCGGCTGGTCAGGGCTGCCGACCGGTTGGTCAGGGCTGCGGACTGACTGGTCTGGGCCGCCGACCGAATGGTCTGCGCAACGGACCAACTGGTCTGGGCTGCGGATCAGTGTTTTCTGATTAAAATTCGAACGCTCTAAGCACGGAGTTTTCCAGAAAGGAGCTTTGTAAGTTTCTGTAACATAAAATCCCGCATGTATTGCCAGAACATGGCCAAACCAAGTAAAAATATGAAAAAATTAAAAAGAAAAGCAGTGGAGCGGTGGTGTTTGCTACTGCATAGAGCATTCGACGAATGTAATGATCCGGTAGTCCATGCAACTGATCTAACCAGATTTACCACGAATGTCCTTTTCTCTGCCAATAGGCAAGGCAGCTCTCGTTTTCAGTCCTTATGTCCATGCCAGAGTGGCCGGATTTTATTACGGCCGGGTAGAGCACACATGCCTCACTATCCCGGCATCAGCAATATTCTTCAGTCCAAAGATATCCTGGGACATCTGGGGCCGATGGGGTTCAAAGTGGCGACTCATTCGGTACTATTGCAGGCAGCAATTATCTGTCTGTCAGTGCAGCTCAGTTGTTTCCATCACACATTGAAGTAACCATCGTTTACTTCTTTACACTCGTCATTGCAAGTGAGCAGCATGCGTCGATGGTGCGGACGGCACAACCGCAATAGTTACCAGCTGGTACGCCCGGGCTCGGTGTTGGCACCGGTAACCATGTGCCTGCATTCGGTCGAGTTTGTCAACCGCCAAGGTTATGTGATGCAGGTCTGTGCGAGCATACTCGACGAGAAGCAAGCTGGGGTGGTGCAGAAAACACCCTTTTGCCGGCCAACGTAACTGATTGCTTTGTTTTCAGCTTCCG